CTCTGCTTATGTGTCTTGTAGTTGAGCGCCTTGACATCCAAACCTTGAGAGATTTTCTTATGCCTCTCGCTTCTCCTCGGCATCTTTACACCCAACACCTCTCGGGTCTCGTACCCTTCAACGCGTTCATCCTCCTTAAGCACTTGCCCCTTTGCAGTTGCATTCGCCTTTGATCCTTTCACCATGATGTCCCCTTTCACAGCTTCAACTCCCACATACTTCGCATTTACTGCTTCATCTTCAACCACGATCGCTGCTGCAAAAGTGTTGACATCGTCTCCATCTCCACCGTTTACTGCTGCTGCATCCGTGATCACTATCTCCTCTTCCTGCTTCACTGCTGCCTCCACACTCGCAGCCATATCATCCGAGTCCTCACTCTCATCAACCTTAGTCAATAACTCCTCCAGTTCTCCCATCTCACCATACTCAGGATCCTCATAGATCTCATCCATATCATTCGTCGCGACCAAGTTCATCTCATAGAACCCGTCACTGAAGTAACCATCAGCATACTTCTCCCACTCAGGACCAAACACAGTCACCTCACCACTGTCATAGAATATCTTGCACCCCAAGTCATCAAGCTGTGACTGACTGACCAAGTTCACCTTCAAATCCGCAACCAGCAACACACTCTCCAGTTTCACTACTCCATACGGACTCCGCAGCACCACGTCACCCTCTCCTGTCACTGGTAACTTTCCACTGTTACCTTGCAGTATATAATCCTCACTCGACTCCCTCACATTCTCCATCCAATCTGACCTGAATGTCATGTGACGCGTGCATCCGCTGTCCATGAACCATGTCGTCTTCTCACGTCCGTCCGTCTGCCGAACCTCCATTGGTAAACGCACCACGTTCGCAAGATGTGCTCCCCCCAAAATCGGATCCTCTTCTTCCTTCTCCGCTTCCGCCACGTTAGCCTTGGCCTCCACGTTCTGCTGCTGCTCCTGCTTCAACGGTCCTTTGTAGTTACGGCCGTTGGGATTCAAGTAGCAATCAATTGCACGATGCCCAATTTTCTTGCAATGATGGCACGCACCATTGAACCTTCCGTGTTGCTGTCCACCACTCCATCCCGCACCGTTCCCTTTGTAGTTTCTACTCCTCGGGTTCTCCACACACTCAAACGCACGATGCCCGAGTTGTCCACACTGGTAGCACGCTCCCGAGCTCCTTCCAGCAGCTGCCGCATTCACCAACGCAGGCTTCTCCTCCACAAAGCCCCTTGTAAACTTCTCCCGTCGCTTCTGATGCTCTCTTGCTCGCTCCAACGCCTGAAGCATGGCAATAAGCTTCGTCATATTCTCCGGTGGGTGGCAGATCAACGCCGGCCGCTCACCCGCCCAATCTTCCGGTAGACCGTTGACGATGTGCCCGATCATCGCCCGCTCGGTTTCCGGCTCGCCCATCGCAGTTAAGTCGTCGTTGTAGCTCCTCGCCATGTTGACATAGTCAATAATCTTCTGGTTCGGCTCCATGGTCATTAACAGCAGCTTCTTCCTTGCGTCGGCGATGTTTGCGTCCATATGCCCGAGGTATGTAGACTCCATGTAAGCCCATGCCGCCTGTGCAGAGTTCTCGCGCTCTGCAAATTCGTCCAAACCCACTGCAATCCTGTCAGCAACGGAATGACATAACTGAAAAAACGCATGCTTAGTCCTCTTCTTGTATTCCGCCTTTTCTTCATCCGATCTCGCCTTACGCGCGGCTGCGTCACCTTCTCCATCCGGTCGGTAGTACTCCCAAAAACCGACTTCCTTCGCCCTCCTTATGAACTTCAATCTCCACGTGCTGTAGTGTTGGCCGTGGAATCGTTGGGCTTCACTGAGCCCCATGGTGGGCTTTGTCACCACCCCTCCTTGCGCTAGCATTTCCAGAAGTGCCTTCACTTGGGGATCTCCAATACTCACAGAGGAGCCCGAACTAGCTTCCGATTGTCCGCCGACCATCTCGAAAGCTTCTCTCTGCACTTAAGAATGCTTAAACGCCACTTAAACCAGCTCTGATACCAGTTCTCAGGATGGTAAACACCTTAGTCGGCAATAGTCTACTTGCTATCGCCTATCGTGTTCTCCACGATCTCACGAATCCAATGATATGCGCAGCTCTGCTTGAAGTTGTCAATACACACTTCAGCAATTTTCAGAATCTCCAACTGATCAATGTTGTATTTCCAGAATGAGTACAAATAGGTTTATAGTCAAGCAAGACACAAAATGCGATTCGTAACTTCACTTGTTTCCCAAGTAACCGCGTGCGCCTCGTTTCACCCCTAGTCGCACACGCAACCGAACCGAATTCGGTGAACACTCCGCAAGTCCGAATCCCGAACTTTCTCGAACGCGCCTTGGTCTCGAAGCACATTTTTTCCCTCGTCAATCTCATTCTCGATGCTTCTCCTTCTCTCTCCCTCCTTCTAGCACATTTCTTCTCGATTTCTCTCCCGCTTCTCACGCCGTAGCCTCTATTCCCCGATTTCCACCGTTTCACACACGCGCTTCCATTTCGCCGTCATTCCGCCGTCGTAGATGCTTTCGCCTTAGGTTCCGTGGTTGGGCGAACCAGCCCTAACAAAAAGACAAGCAACATGAAGCCCCAATTCAGCAGACGAAGATTCATTGTTTTCTAGGCTCCCCGGAAAAGCTTTTGATAGCAAGAACCACTTTCACATGCTCCCCTGAACCTAGAACAGGCAAAACGACAAAATTCCATAGCTGTGGACGGTGCTGATTCATCCCCATATTCAATGACAGTCCTCACATCTCCCAATTACCTGATGCCAATAAACTACAAACTCCCACAATCATCACCAAAAAGTGTGACTCCGAAATGTAGCTGCGTAGCTAAGCTATCCAGGGGTTCTCTTTCAGGTCCCTAATATATCCAAAAAGATTCTCTCGCAAATTTTAAGACTACGGAACCTGTCCGTAATGTATCCAGAATGAGAGCTGAACAAAATTTGTCCAGAAAGAGTTTTCAACAACACTTTGAGCGGAAGGTAGGCGGATCGTTACTTGCTGGGTGCGTTATTATATGTTCCCCTTAATTGTCACCTGAAACATTGTTCTCCTTGAAACCCTCAGAACTTTCCCTTTTCCAACTCTTTTGCACATACCTGATTCACTACATTTGCCCTGGTGGCCAATTGGTTACAGGTCTCAGCTTTCGAGCAGCCTACTTCTCATCGTTTCGCGGAATATGCGTCACAACCAGGCTGCCTTCACACGCAGGGAACCGGGTCCGCAGCTTGCGAAGTGGTTGCACCAAACCTCAAAGACTGCTCATTTCTTGATACTGCACATTTATGCGCTTATGGAGTTGGTTCAGCCTTAAGCACAACTTTCGCTTGAAGCGACTTGAAGAACCTCTCTCCCCATCGCAACACTGCCCGCAGCTTCGATAACACCCGGAGAATCAAGCTTCGCTTCAACAGACCGAAACTGGTCCTCCATTGCCTCAAGAGGCCTCACAAATCCCTCATCTCTCCCTCTCATCCCCTCTTATCTCTCTCTCTCCCCTGTAACTCCATTCCCAGTCAGAATAAAAGATGGCTGGTCGCTGCACCAGTGGAGTCTCCTTGGCTACGAGAGGCCCCAAGCACCCCTTCTCATCCACAACAAATTCCCCTGATGCTGCCGACGTCAGTGGTTCTTTCTCACCACCCTTTCTCTCCTCATGTCCCTCCCTCTCCGCCAATCCCAGCCAGAGCAACTTGCACTATTCCCGGCGATGGCGAGTGGTTCTTCTTTGCAGCCCGCGACCTCAAGTACCCATCGGGGTCCCGATCCAACCGTGCCACAGCTGCTGGGTACTGGAAGGCCACTGGGAAGGACAGGCCAGTGCACGTGCAGTTTGCAGGCAACGAAGGAACAGAGGACCAGACAATCAGAGTGGGATTTAAAAAGACTCATGTCTTCTATATGTGAGTATCTTGTTCAGGTCTTTGGATTGTTTGGCCATATGAAGTTGCTGTTCCATCGCGTGTCTTGCCTGAGCTTCATTTTCTTCTTTTAGGCTGGTTTGTTCCAAACTTGGATTGGTTATATTCAAATTTAGATTTTGTGAGCGTGTTCTATACGGTTCGGTTGGGCTGTTCTTCAGTTTGTTTGTGTGTGTGTGTGTGTGTGTGTGTGTGTGTGTGTGTGTGTGTGTGTGTGTGTGTGTGTGTGTGTGTGTGTGTGTGTGCGCGCGTGCGCGCGCGTGCGTGCGTGCGTGCGTGCGTGTGTGTGTGCGTGGGTGTGTGTGTGTATGTGTGCACGCGCGTGCGTGCGTGCGTGCGTGCGTGTGTGTGTGTGTGGGTGTGTGTGTGTGTGTGTGCGCGCGCGCGCGCGCGTTCGCGCGCACGTGCGTGTGGAATGAGGAAATGCTTGTTGAAAATGCCTTCCATTTAAATTATTTTTCTTCTTTAACTTCTTCTGTGTTGTGGCAACACGGGGCGAGCGCCAGGAGGCGACAATACAGACTGGGTCATGCACGAGTACCGGCTGACAGAGGACTCGCCTGTAGCTGTACCTGCTGCTACTGACGAGGCACATGCTACAGTCGCAGAAGTCGAATTAAACCCAGGATTAGCTGCAGGCCCAGCTTCTGCCCATGAAAGCATTGCAGAACGTGTAAATACAGTAGGTGGTATCCGAGGCAGTACTTTCACTGGCTGGAACAGCAGCAGAGAAGATGAAACGTCCAACCCAGACACCCAAGGTCCAGGAGCTGGGGGTGGTGCAGGTGGTGCTGCTGCTAATGTAGGTGGTTCGGGTGCTGAGGGTGGTGCAGGTGGCTCTGCTGATGGTGGGCTAGCCATTTGCAACAACAGCAGCAGCAGCCCCAAAGCCAGCAGTCCGGAGCGACAAACTGGCGGTGCGCAAAAAATTAACGTGGCGTCGTGGGTGGTTGTGCGGGTTCTCAAGCGAAGTTCCCTGACAGCTGAGGAGCAAGCGATGATGCCACTGCAGCGGATGGTGGCACAGCAAATGATGGTAGCGCAACAAGCAATGCATGCGCATCAAGCAATGATAATGCAGCAGCAGGGTGGGATGGTTGCTTTCCAGGCTGTGAATCCGTGGCTCTCGACGCAGCAGCAAGGGAGCAAAGAAGAGCATAAACCAGGCTATGCTGGTGGGGCTAGGAGAAGCACATTTGGTGCTACTGGTAGTGAAGGCGGAGTGAGGAGCACAACTGGTGCTGGTGATGAAGTTGGAGCTTATGGGAGCGCAGGTAGAGCTAGTGGGAGCGCAGGTAGAGCAAGCAGTTCAGGAAATGAGTCAACGCAGGAGCCAGTGGAGGAGGAAGAAGCCCAAATAGTTCCGGAAGTAGCAGGAGCAGGAGCAGAAGTGGGGGCACCAGTAGGAGCAATGGCGCATGCAGTAATGGATGTAGCAGGAGCAGGGGCAGAACTGGGAGCAACAGCAGGAGCAGCATTGATAGCAGCTGCAGTGCAGCAGGGGTTGTCTTTCCAAAAACAGCAAAGCAGTAGCGCAGCAGTGCAGCAAGGGTCTTTGTTCCAGCAGCAGCAAAGCAGCACCCCAGCAGGCCAACAAGGGTCATCACAAGCAGTCTGTTGCAAGCAGCAGGAGCAACTGACGGTATTGCCTTCACCAGTTGCCACCGCTCCAAAAACAGCCACTTCCCTGCTTCACCTCCCCCTCCCCCTCACCCACACCCGCACCCACACCCAAACTCGCAATCTCAACAACACCCACTTCCAGCTTCCCTCTCTGCCTCTCACAGAATCACAGATTCACCGAGCTGGTTACAGGGTTATATCTCAGCAAAGCCACGGTCACATCAACAAAGCAGTTACCAGCAGGTGATTGCAGGCCCTTCTTCCCCTTCATCTGCCCCTCTGCACCCGCTCCGTCCTTCCTCTTCTCCTTCAATCTCTGCATCCTGGTCAGGTGCCCCTCAGCCTAGTAAAATGCACACCCCAGCCATCCTTCCGGCGTTCACTGCTGCTAATCATGCTGCTGCAGCTGCTGATACGGCCGCTGCTGCTGCTGCTGTCGCTGGTGCTGCCGCTACTGCTACTCCTGCCGTGGCCTTTGCTGCTGCTCGTAGTAGTATTATCCCAGTTGGTGCAGCTGGGTCAGCTGGGCTATGTGACAGAGCAGCAGGTGAAGCAATCGGTTATCAAGATATGCAGCAACTGGCTGATCTCCTCAAATCTCTTCTAGGGAATCAGATCGACACCAGTGCACTTGCTGCAATCACAGCCTTTCCCACTGCTTCTCCACTTGCTGCTTACAGCAGTTCTGATACAGCTCCTGCCCCTCCAACTCCTCCTCCTGATGTTGCTGCTGCTATTCCAGTTGCAGGCTGTTTCCGACCCTTTGGAGGCAATGTTTCAGTACCCTCATACTTCGCTGCACCACCCTCGACATCAGTCCAGCAGGGGAAAAGGCACAAGGCACAGCACGCAGTAACATTAGGCCACCAACAGCAGCAGCAGCAGCAGCAGCAGCAGCAGCAGCATGGCCAGTACCAGCAGCATCAGATGCTTCAGCAGCACCTGCCTCAGCGGCAAGGAATCTGTCACACCGTCCCTCTACCACTTCAGGCTCCCCTTCAAGGCGCCAACCAGTATGAAACGCCCTCTCATGCCTCCTACACCCAGTTGTTGCAAGGGGCGTTGGAGGGACACGGCGAGCAAGGGAGGTTAGACGTGAGTAGCTCGGGTGACAGTCTGCTGCATTCCAGTGTGTGGGACAGAGGTGCGGCAGAGGTTTCTGGAGGAAGGATGGATGGAGAGAGGAAAGGAGGAGGAGAAAATGGCGGGGTCGGTGGTTTGGAGGCGATTTTTCGGCTCACCAGCACGTATGGAGGAGCACGGGGTTCTGGGATGGTGCACAGAGAAGCTGTCTTGCCGGGACGGGTGGGAGTTGCAACAGCAGGAGTGGCAGCAGCAGGGGTGGCAGCAGCAAGGGTGGCAGCAGCTTCTGTGAGAGCTGGATTAACCAGGGAACAATCAACTGAGGAAGATTTAACTGGGGAAGAATTAACTGGGGAAGAATCAACTGGGGAAGAATTAACTTGGGAAGAATCAACTGGGGAAGAATTAAGTGGGGAAGAATCGACTGGGGAAGAATTAAGTGGGGAAAAATCAACTGGGGAAGAATTAACAGGGGAAGAATCAACTGGGGAAGAATTAACTGGTGCAGGTGTTATGGCAGTAGGGGGTGGGGTTTCAGTGGCAGGGGTAACTGCAGCAGCGATTGGAGGAGGGGACCTGCTGACATCGCTAGATGGGTTGGAGCTAGCAGATTTAGAGGCGCTTCTACTGAATGTGGAGGGAGAGTTGGAATTTATCAGCAGCAGCATGGTCAGCGAGTTCAGCCAGCCTCACAGCCAGCCTCCTAGTAGCAGCACTGTCTGCACCATTGAGCCCATTAGCAGTGGCATGGCCATCAGCCAGCCGCCTGAGGGACTGGCACCATCCGTGGCAATGGGATCATCTTTATTTACGCCCATGCATGGTGGGTCTGAAGGCTCGTTTGCATCAGAGGAGGGGTTTGCTGCGGTCATGGCTGCTTGTCACACTGCCAGTGCCACTGGTAGCAGCGACCGCATGTGTTCTAAGAGGCAAGGTGCTCTGTTGCTGCCAACAACAATTCTCCCGGCTCTGGGAAGTGTGTCACTGGATCGGACACAGGCAGATGGAGCAGCAGAAGCAGGAGATAAATCAGTGGTATCAGCAGCAGGAGAGGCAAGGGCTGCAACTGCAGGCAGGATTGTTGATGTATCTGGGGATTCACAAATGGGGAATCTGGGATTGAGCAGTAGTAAGGGCACTGGAAGGAAGCTCTCTCCCAAAAGGAGTCGTGAAGAGGGCGGCTGATGCTTGCCAAGAGGAAATATTTTGTAGGAGCCTTTGTATCTCTTGGGGCTGTTAGTGTACATAGAGTGTGTCAGATTTATATGACATAGCTACTGTAGGCTATAGTGGGGTAGCACATATGAGGTACAGTTTTCTAGGGTTTGCTTTTGTACCCAACTTTCCCTTAGTCAATTCATTTTCCTCATTTCTTCACATGGTATAGAGCAGGTTCCCTAGTGGGAACGCTTCCTTGGGCCCACCACTGAAACCTTTTTTTTCTAACCGGAGCGACAGTCGCTCCTGCCCGAGGCGCGCCTTGTGGGCCGCCCTTCTGTCGAGCTCTCTTAGAGGCCCCTCTCACGGCCCCTCGCGCCACCCTTAGCGGCCCCGTCGCCGCCCCTAGCGGCCCCGTTGCCGCCCTTCCAGGCCCCTTGCGGCCCCTAGCGGCCCCATTGCCGCCCCTACGTGGCCCCGTAGCCGTCCCTACGCGGCCCTGTCGCCGCCCCTACGCGGCCCCGTCGCCGCCCCTAGCGGCCCCGTCGCCGCCTCCCTCCCTACGCGGCCCCGTCGCCGCCCCTACGCGGCCTCGTAGCCGCCCCTACGCGGCCCCGTCGCCGCCCCTAGCGGCCCCGTCGCCGCTTCCCTCCCTACGCGGCCCCGTCGCCGCCCCTACGCGGCCTCGTAGCCTCCCCTACGCGGCCCCGTCGCCGCCCCTAGCGGCCCCGTCGCCGCTCCCCGCCCCTAGCGGCCCCGTCGCTGCCCCTACCCGGCCCCGTCGCCGCCCCTAGCGAGCAGCCGAGCCGCCGAGCCGCCCAGCAGCTGAGCCGCCGAGTCGCCCAGCAGCCGAGCCGCCCCTGGAGCAGCCGCCACTGCAGCAGCCGCCCCTGGAGCAGCCGCCACTGCAGCAGCCGCCCCTGGAGCAGCCGCCACTGCAGCAGCCGCCCCTGGAGCAGCCGCCACTGCAGCAGCCGCCCCCGGAGCAGCCGCCACTGCAGCAGCCGCCCCTGGATCAGCCGCCTCTGGAGCAGTCGCCCCTACAACTGCCGCCCCTGGAGCAGCCACCCCTGCAGCTGCCGCGAAGCTCTCGCTCTACAGTGGTAGCGGCCTCGCCGTTGCCGCCGTCGTACGCCTGCCCTTCTCGCCACTGGTGAGCACTGCCCTGCCCGTACTGCTGTTACTGCTGCTCTTACTGCTGCTGCTCTTTCTACTGCTACTGCTGCTCCTGGCGTGGCCAGATGCAGCTCCAGCGTCGCCCGCGAATACCACAAGGCTGAAGAACGACCAGGTGAAGAACGACCTGTACATTGGACATCTGAGAGAGAAGATGATATATATTCGGATGGGCGAGGAGGAGTCAGCGACGGACTACTGCAACCGTGCTTGACGGATCCTTTGCTGAGATGCAGATGACGGGCGCTGAATACTCTACGGTGTCCTACATCACCCATGTTCTCAAGGGCCTACCGCGCAGCTACAACCTCATGAAGAGGATGACGATGGTGCCCGGCACCCGTGAGTCCCTCGACGAGGACTCCCTCACCAGCTACATCCTCCAAGATGAGGCGATGCAAGAGGCAGAACACCCCACGGAGCTCCTTTCGCAGGCAAGTTACGCTGCACCGACGAAGCAAAATTGTCAGCAGGAGCAGCGCGGGAAGCTGGGCGGAGGTGGTAGCAGGGGTGGGCGGTCAACGAAGGACGTCGACGAGAAGAGATCGACGCGGGACAAGGGCCGTAGAGGTGGTCGACGGCGGGAGTGCTAGATCTGCCACGACCCCGACCATCTTTCCTACGAATGCCCCGAACGCGACGACAGCGACGAGGACGACAAGAAGGGAGGCCGTGGTCGATCGGCCAGTCGTCGCCCTTGTCGAGATGCAAAGCCCCGCAAGGAGAAGCAGACGTCGAAGACGACATCGTCGACGAAGGACGGCGACAACTGCAGCAGCAAGGGCCGAGACGACGGGGAGGCGTCATGCTCGATGGTCGGCTTGGTGGAGTCGACAGCCTCGCTAGCACCGGAGGCTGGCGAGGACTTCCAGGCGGTGGCGGCAGCTGTGCAAGCCAACCCGATGGCAGTACTGCTTGACAGTGGTTGCTCCCACCACCTGATGGGGACGAAGGCGGTCTGTGTCGACATGGCGCCGAGCGACAGTGTGAAGCACGTGTGCGGCTTCAATGGGGCGTTGCAGCTTGTCAAGTATCGTGGAATCGTCGCTCTGCAAGGGGAGGCAGGGAAGCGGGTCCTTATCCCCGACATGCTCTACGTTCCTGGAGTACATGCGAACATGTTGTCAGCTGGCCAACTTAAGGAGAGCGGAGTGCAGCTGCAGGGCGATGGAGACGAGATGCTGCTCGTCGCCGCGACCGGGGAGGTGCTCGGTCGAGCCCGCTACAACGGACGAGTCCTCTGCACCGACCTTCGCCCCTGCTCGACGCGGTCCCAGTCGACCGAGGTGGTGGCTCTGCGGACGATTGTCTCGGCGACGAAGTCGACCCCTGACCGGTTGCACTCGAGGCTCGCGCACATCAGCATCGACACGATCAAGATCTCGGCGAGGCATGAAGTTGCTACTGGGCTCGACACCAAGCCGTCAACCATAGTAGACCCGCCGTGTGTCTCGTGCGTCGGAGGAAAGCTGGCGCATCACACCTTCCCCGACAAGGGCTCGGACGTCGAGGAGGCACTAGCTGTCGTGCAAATTGACTTGTGCGGGCCATTTCAGGTAGCTGCCAAGGATGGCAGCTTGTACTTCCTGCTGCTGAAGGATTTTCACACTCGGTTTGTGTGGGTGATGCTGGTCGCTAAGAAGAGCGACGTGCTGCGGGAGTTCCAGAAGTGGCTGGTGCTAGTGGAACGGTAGGAGAAGAAGTCGGTGCTGATGCTTCACTCAGACCGGGGAGGGGAGTTTCTTGGGAAGGATTTCACCGACTTCGTCGACGGAAGGGCATCATCCACGACTTAACATGCCCTTACACTCCAAAGCAGAACAGCTTTGTGGGAGATGCGCACAGCCGTCGATTCCGCGCGGACAATGGTGTTGCACATGGGCGTGCAGCACCACTAGTGGCACCTCGCTCTACGACAAGCTATCTGGGTGTGCAACTGCTTGGAGCGGTTGATGATGCTGCCGGGGACGACGCCATATCAGCTGCTGACCGGGGAAGAAGCCCGATCTCATGTTGGCACGGGTGTGGGGCTACATGGTGCAGTTCATGGTCCCTAAGCAATAGCGCGGTGGGAAGCTGGCGCCGAAGGCTCACTGGGGGCTTCACCTGGGCGTGTCGCCGGAGAGTAAGGGCTGGGAGGGGCTCGACCTGACCGACAACAAGGCGCACAACGAGGTTCTACGAGACACTGTCGCTGGAGGTGTGGAAGGCGAAGTATGGGCCGGCGTCGGGGTGGACGAAGGCAAACCCGCCGACGGACACATCGACGGCGACGGTCCCACTACTCGTCGAGGTCAACGAGTCTGCTGATGAGGATGTCATGGAGGTTCTTCCTCTTTGCAGATCGGCCTGCGCCGACACCTGTGTCGGCCACCAGCGATGAGGGGAGCCTTGAGGCGTCGCCTGTAGCGCCAGCCAGTGGCATCGCCGGCGGCCGACAAGGCGCCAAGCTCCTCGACAAGGAGGTGTAGCCTTCGAAGACGGGGGAGCAGCAGACGGGGGAGCCAGTCAAACAGGAGGCAGCAACAGGGGTGCAGTCGACAAGGGAGCAGCAGACGGGGTAGTCGACAGGGGAGCTGTCAAAGTTTGTAGGAGGGGAGCCGCCGGTCGAAGGGTCGAAGTAGCCCGTCAATGACGAGGACGTCGATGACGAGGGGGAGCAGTCGGCGAGAGAAGAGTCCACCGACAGCGATGTGGTTGAAGTTCTGGTCAAGTAGCCTAAGTTGCGACACACACGTCGAGCTCGAAAGCCACTGGAGCGGCTGGTCTTCCATGCTTGCCTGCCACCAGCTGCCTTCACCACGGTGTACGACAGCGCTCAGGATGACCTGCTGTATGACGACGCTGAAGATGACGTTGACCTGCCGGAGCTCGACCCCGACGTACATGCTGACCCTGAAAATCGCTGGGACATCGTCACGATGACAGTGATGGAGGCGCTGGCGAGCTGGAAGGGCGAGGCGGTGAAGGCCGCCATGGAAGAAGAGATCCGCAGCCTCATCGGCATGGGCACCTGGGAGCTGGTCGAACGCCTACGTGGGGTGAACATCATGAAGAACCGGTGGGTGCTGACGACCAAGTACCGCATCGACGACACCGTCGAGTGCGAGAACGCAAGGCTGGTCGTGAAGGGCTTCACGCAGGTGTACGGCACTGACTACGACGAGACGTACTCGCCGGTGAACAGCTACGTCACGCTGAGGATCTTCCTGAGCATCGTTGTCGTCCTCGACCTCAACCTGATGCAGTTCGACATGAAAAACTCTTTCCTGCAGAGCAAGCTCGACCGGGTGCTGTACATGTACCAGCCGGACTACTTCGACGATGGGACCGGCCGGGTGTGCAAGCTGCTGAAGAGCCTCTACGAGCTGAAGCACTCGCCGCTGCTGTGGTACAGGGCTGTTGACAGCCTGCTGCTGGACGTTGGCTGGAAGAAGAGCCACGTCAACACAGCACTCTACTTCAAGGTCGGCGACGACGGAGTGTCCTGCTGGATGCTGGTCTACGTCAACGACCTGGTTGCCACCAGCAGCAGCACCGCGATGCCGAAGGAGCTGCTGGAGGCCGCCTTCGAGCTGCGCGAGATCTCGCCAGTCGTCAAATACCTCTGGCTGGAGTCGTGTGCGACAAGCCAGCGAAGAAGCTGTGATTGCACTAGCAGAACTACGCGGACAAGCTGCGCAGGCGCTTCATCAACGAGGAGCAGACCGAGCGCATCCCGTAGACGCCGGTCTCGGTCGACGCCTACGCCGAGCTGACATTCGACGACGAGGAGGCGCAAGAGCGCGAGAAGGAGGAGTTCTGGCATAAGGTTGGCTCGTTGCAGTTTGCGGCGACGACGACGAGGCTGG